CAAAGACTTCATAATATAAGGGACTCCCTAATTTCAATATGAATATCAAAAAGCAAATGCATTTAAGCAGCAGTACCATCAATATTACGTATGCATTGTTTCTGTAAGATATGTAGTTTCGTCGAAATTGACTTGTCGATGATCTCTTTAACCTTGAAAAGTGATGAAAAATGACACTATATCTGACATTGACTATGACATGTTATGGATACTTGTGATGAAGTATGAATTGATGGTAAACATGTACTTATTTGGGCATTTTTCTTAGTGTGCTTTAAAAAGCTCCATTACATAATTTTTTTTTAAAAATTTCACCACCTTGCATTACTTATCTCATTTGCTCAATATCTAAGCCGAGTTTGGCTAATGACAAATAAACTGGAAATAATTTTAAAAGTCTACTTTAAATAATGTTTGCACAATTATGAACCTTATATTGATTTTGATTGCAAATGCATGTTCACATATGTAAAGCTTTGCGTCTGGCCGAATTTTAACTTACCTTTCATAATTTATTGTTTTGCTATTGTGCTCATACTTATACTGACTGCAGAACACTCAATTTACCATCAAAGGCAAGTTATACTTCCTTGAATATATTTTTTTTCTTTTTTGACCCCACCAAACCAATACTTTCATGATATGATAAAATAGAATCTACACTTTCGGGTTTTATTTCTGTTCGCTAATGTGCGTCAATTCTAACACGTAAGCATAGATTATATCTGTTCCTTCGCTAAGCATACGACATGAGAAGTGAAAATCTGTGGAATGAGACATAAGTAACTGAGATCCCAAGTAACAGTAGAAATCGACACGATAAAGAACTCTCACTGTTTCACTGGTTAACATCGAAGCCATTCACCAACAATGTCTCTCTATGAATGAAATATGCTTGATTGGGACGAAAACACACACACACAAACTTCAATCCCTGATCCGAGAGTTAATTGCCCATTACACGATGTAGTTACAAAAAAAATATCTTTCTTAACATTCTCTCCATGGTAGAGACCAATTAAATAGTTTGCGTTAAATAAACAATATCAGTATATGATCATCTGTATAAGTTTCAATGAAAAGGGTGCCAAAACTTCGGAGGATATATTGACATCTGCATCACTTTTTTGATAGAAATAACAATAACTTGGTTTCTAGAGAGGTACAAAATCTTCACATGCTAATCTTTGTGGAAATAATTAGTCAGATTTACATTTCCTCATTTAAAAATTGAATACAGAGTTTGTTTAAAATTTTCTTCTAGAAATTCCAAGATCATGTGAAAAAAAAAGATAACCAACAGTGATTGGACTTAAAAAAATCGACAAAGGACATAAATCTCTGAAAAAAAAACCAATAATGTATTTTAGATTTTAAAATATATATTAATTTTTTTTTGAGTCAAGTACAAAATAAGACGAAAATAGTCCCATCCACATAATCTGCAGTAAATCAGTTTTGTTATAATACTTTTGAAAGATCGTAAATATTCATGTATAATTATATCAATTATATTCTAATATAGATATATGTTCAAAACAATATTACTTTTCATTACTTTTAATGAATATTAACAAGCACTTGCAGTTGATTTCATTGTTCATATGTGCCTAATTGAATATTACTTGATTTCTGTTGAAGACAGTATGTTTTCAGCAATGGTCTATCATTTCTAATCATTTCTACTGCTTCTATCAACTACGATATTCAGAGGTATTTATACAAGGCATTAGCAATAATTACATTGTATCTTTTATCCCTGTGTTTAAACTTTCCTTATGATTAAATGATTGGAACGTGTCTGTGGGTCAGATTGTTCTGTTTCTTCAAAAAATCACCAATCAGCAAAAAAATTATAAATCTATTCTAAAACAAATCCCTTAGAATTGCCCTTGTCAAACAAATGTCCAAAATCAAAAATAAGTAATTATGAAAACATAGGGTCATTGGAATATAATTATGTTATTTTGATCAGCAAAAGATACAATTGCAAATGAAAATATGATTAAAAAAGGGCTACTTATCAATAAATAGCGTAAGACCCCCTTCAAAAGAATACCAATATAAAACGATTAAGAGTTCCGGTATTGAGTTTTTTATGTGTATAATCATGCTTAGTACACAGAGTAATTACTGTCACAGTCGCCAAGAGAGAATTATGTTGGATTAACACAAATGAGACCGAGAGTGACAGGGGAACATTCGATATCTTTAAACAAGGAGTGAAAAGTAAATTCCAATTGATCTTTTGACAACTTAAGATTAAATTTATTTATAGGAAACTTTTTTAATGCGTTTATCGGGATGTGACTTCAAATTGTTCATGTGATCATACCCCACAAAGACCTTTTCAATATAAAAGTAGTCTGCCTCGTTTGAGCAAACTAAGAAACCACGCTTGCATACCAAATCCGAAAATCACATCCAGGTGATTGTTGAATATTACTACATGAAATATATGAAGATAGCGAACAGTATTCAAGCTCAAAAACATATTCAAAAAAATACAAATCAGGAACAGAGCCAGCACAGGTCATTTACTCATCACAAGTAGAATCAGGGGCCATGGAAAAGTGAGCATCCTCTGCCGGAATTCTCACAGGTATCAATTGCCCCATTACCATACTCATTTCTGTATTCACATTCTCAATCTTATACATGAAAAGAAGTCATTTGCTGTGGCCTTCAATACAACATGAACATATATCGACGACGGCTTACCTTTACACAATCTTCATTGTCATATCTACGTTGCTTCTATGTAAATTTAAATCAAAATAAAAGGTACTAAACAGTCTGTCAAGCCCGTTTCATATTGGGATATTTCACAAGAAAAAAGCCCTTATATTAATGGTATTTATGGTTTTTCAATTGATAACCTTCCTTTTTTGAAGAAATATTTACCATAATCACCTGCATTTTGAGTTAATTCGATACGCAAGAGCGTTTGATCAATTTCTAAAACGAGACAAATTACTTACAAATTATTTGAGGATCAATTATATCAACATTTTTATAAAAACTCAATACTTCAATAGTACTATGGTCCTTATAATGAAATTGACAGCAAATACAAGCTATCATCTAGTCGAAAGTTGACTGGCGTTTTTATATAAATTGTTTGGTCATTATTTCCACACTGAATTGTCTACGAACTTTTTAGTTTAGCCGATCATGAAGAGGAGCACACGGTGGGTGTAACCGGTCATCGGGAGATGCTTACCCCTTCATGGCACCTGATCCCAGGCATGATGTTGTAGAGGTCCCTGTTCTGCTTCTGATTTGTATTACTTCAGGGGACATTTGAGAGTGATTGTTGTTCTTTATTGTCATATTTCATGTTGAAATTTTTTTGCGGTTTTATTTTCGAGTTATAGTACATGTAATTAGCTGATTTTTATCTTTAAAACATATATGTATTTTCTTCATCGGTATAGCGTTCAGATATTACTGTATATATCAAATTAAATACTTACAAAGACTCCAATTTAAGTGATAGACCGTAGATATGTCAGTGTATAAATATCATGAGATATATTCTGATATAAATCCTCAAAACAGTTCATATGAATTTAATTTTCCGCTGAAATAGGATTTTTGTATTTCCCACTCGGCGTTAAACACTAATTAAGTAATCAATCAAAAAGTTCAGTACTTTTTTTAAAAAGAGAATTCAGTGAAATCAGAGGAATTTGTCTAAACATCTAGTTGCTGTCTACATTTATTTAAACTCATTTGACATTCATAAAGAAGACACGAAACATTTAAATTACAGCAAGACATAATAGTCAGAAAGAAAAAAATTGCTGTTATTAACCATAGTTTACGATAAACGTGAGTTAGATTGTGATAAACTTCCTTCCACTGTCAAAAAATCACAATACCCTACAGTTTTATCCTATTATTGATGCATACGTATATGAAATATATGAAATAATGAATACACATTCATTTCTATAGGTAAAATGTCAAAGACATGCGATAGATTTTCTCTTCATTGTGAATTCTTTGTTATATCGAGTGGATATATATTTCATACTGAGGATACATGTTTATCACAGTTTCTAATATCTTGATTAAACCTTATTAACGTCTGCAGTGTATGAAACAGAACAATGAACCTGCGCCTAACCTGTAATATTTTCATTTATTACTAAGTTTGCATAATTTTTGAGTCAGATTTTGTTTATATTTGATACTTTGAGTTTTGATATGTCGAGACTTGTGAAAATCCAAAACGTAATAAAAGTTGTTTATTTATTTCGCATTTGGACCTTTCTGTGAATGAATTTAAATATGCAGCATGGTTCACAGTGTGATTAAATTAATTAGATAACTGAAAATGAATTTTGATATAAATTAAGAATTTGTGTTCATTATTTCATATAATTATTCCATGTATGTATGCATCGATAATAGGATAAAAATGTAGGGTATTGTGAGTTGAGCGCACTGTTAAAATGTCGTAGGATTTAAATCTTTATTATAAATAACAAGGCAATGTTCGATAGAATTTAATTTAAAACTGTTTCCAAGTTTTAAAACGAAATACATATACATATACTAGTATTATTAAGATTCGAACAATTAATTTCTCTTTCAATAAAGGTAATTAACATTAAAACTTACTTTATAATCGAACAATATTGTTACGTGAGTATAATCGACCCTTTGTCTTAGTTGTAAAAAAAAGTCATAGAACAAGTCTCACAAATACAGCATTCAAAGAAAAATCTATCTTTAAGAAAACATAAAAGATAAAAACAACCAAGATGGATTTTACTCTTTACCTATACTTTATAATTTTCAGTACATTGGTTTGTTATAACTAAATTTTGCTTGACAGGCGCAGTCGATATGAGTATTTAAGTTTTTGGAAGAAAATTAAAAAATTTCGAAAACGTTTATGATTGTACACTCAATGAAAGTAGTTTTCATTTCTTTTACATAGATTATTTAAATTCATAGTGATTTTGACTTTCAAAAATAAAAGTACTCACCTTATAAATAAAAATTTATCCGACAATCCAACACATCAAGTAACTTTTCTTATGCTGGTTATCATAACCTTGTGTTTTTCTGAACTGTGAGGACCATTTTCGAGAAGATAAGGTTGGGCTTTTGAGGATACAGATTTTGAACACTTTTTTATGTTAAGCGCTTTATACGCAATATTTCACGGCAAAATGCACCTGACCAATCAACGTCGGTGTTAGATTATGGCGGCTACGCACTCTTTTGTCGCTGTCGTGGCATAGTAGATTTCAATTAAAAGCGTTTGTTCTCCAATAATCAGTCTTTAAGTACAATCATTTAGCGATTCATCTTTCGTCATCAAAGACACGAGCCTTCAGGTGACCTTGAGAACGACAGGTTCTGGGATCGATTGTTTAAATGTGTAGGCATTCACAGCTAAGATATAATATCCAATAAGTTTACAACAAAGTTTAATTAACTAACATTTAATATCGTATTAGACAATTCTATTTTACTGTAACATTTCAATAAAATATCGTTAAAATTATTTTTTTAAAAACCGAGAGTATCAGAAGCAGTTATAGAATTTCAACAATACAAAGTTTATAACATTCATAAACAATATATCACTAGCACTCTTTCTTTCATTTTCCACTTATTCTAAGACTGCTTGTGGTCGGAAAATAGCTCTTTGGAACTAATTTTTTGTTGATTTATAAGCAGTCTTAGAATTTAAGTTGCAAGCAATCTTACAATTTAAATTATAAGGAATTAGAGCTTGTAGTCGGAAATTATAAAGTCATCAATCGAGGTCAGAAAGTCACAAATTTTAATTAACTTTAGTATTTGGATAGTTTTTTTCTGAATAAACTTTATATTTAAAATACAATGTCATTCTCAATAACATTAAAACGCCCCTTTTGAATTTAAAATGGATCCAATGCCAAGGTCATATATGTATAATTGTCATTGATATTAAATATGGCAGAGTGGCTTTGGTCATAAAAGTATTAAAGCTCGAAATATTGTGAGCAGTTGGTGTAATAAATGTGCATAGTTTTCTCATTTGTGGCACAAAATAAACGCCTGCTTTAAGACACTGACGTCTAACAGATCTAAAACCGTGGAAAACATGTAAGCTCTTCAAGCGTTAATGAAAAAGAAGTCACCCACCAGAGTATAGTTTCCCTTGTATTTTAGGAAGTATTAACAACGATTTAGATTGTTTGCTATTTGTGTTTTTCACACTTTTTGGATATCTTTCTGGTTTGACGCATTTAAGTTGTTGAAATTTGATTATTTCTTCTACACCTAATTTGGATACATCACCTTATATTACATGCTTATGTGAGTATGACACTTTTGGAATATCTGAAATGCAGGTTACCTTAAGATATAGGAATTCTTCTCAAGAACGTGTTTTAGAGCTCGTAATAAAAAGATCTCTGTAATCTTTATTTGATTTTCATCATTTAATACTATCTTTGTATTCGATCGAAAAAATAAGCGAGTTATCACATAAAAAATAAGATTATAGGTACTCGTTCTTGAAATTTATTATACATCTTTATGTAATTATGTGAAATTTGCTATTCCTGGAGGTATGAATTGATTGCAGTTTTATTACGATGCTAAGAACTAAGCAATAGACAATGGCTTATATTACAAGTAATAATTTTTTAGTTTTATAATTCAATGTCTTCAAGAAAGTCGTACAGCAATTAAATCTTACTTCTTGTATCCTTGAGACACATCGTATGCTCCAATTAGACAATAAATCTATATGTTAATGCAGTATTATATACGATTTATATACTGAACTAAGTATTTGTTCCAGTTCTAAGGAATAATTGTAGGAGTTATTCCCACATTCTGATTAATGACAAAGAGATTGAGACCGCGAAAGCCTAAGGATGGTTTAAATCTAAAAACTGGGCTTAATGGCATGTCCAAGTAATCGGAAGTATTGATTTTGATTTTTGGTTCAATTAGTGGAGGCTTAGCATGTCGGTCAATAATAAGAACGATTTCAATAAAAAAGAAGTGCACATGTCACACAATGAAAATTAAAATTACACCAAAAAAAAACACCAAAAAACAAAAAAAATGGGATTCTATAAGAATATGTGTTGAAACATAGCAATATTTTATTTCGGTTCGTATTATTAAGTCATCATTATGATGTCATACCAATTTTTTACACTTTGTTTATAAAGTGACTTTGAATATGGAACATTACGTAAGCGTAATCAATTGTAATACTGGAGGGGGTGATTGGTCGTAAGTGGGTAATTTCTTCTTCTGGTCATCTTATTTCACTTTTTGAGATCCGTCTTTTATGCCCTGTTTACAAATTTATACTGTTTATAAGATTTTTAAAATTCAATTCCCTTAAGATTTTTATTTGTTGTTTTTTGTTAAATTTAGGATTTGACCATTAGATAACTTCCTATGCCAGAAAGTTGACAACAATAAAGTCCTTGGACTTTTAAGATATTTTTCTTTTGAAAGATTTAAACTAAAGCAAGAGATTATAATTAATAAACTTATGTGTGCATTGAATAAAGGAGTTTTAAGATTATTGCTGCAATAAAGATGATTATTAATGAAATAAGAAGATAACACACAGTAAGCTTTCTATATAGTTCATTTAAACAATGGAATGTATGGAGACAAGAACAGTATTCAAGCTCAAAAGACCATTAAACAATATACAATTAGGGAGAAAAACTCAGAGGTGGGTTAAGGTGCCATGGAGGAGTGGGAATCCCCTGCCGACCGGTCACACCCGCCGTGTGCTCCATGTCAGGGAAGTTGACGTTTGAAATGTTAAAATCATCACGTTTATCATAATGCTTGGTCGTTAGATTACTGTTAACATCTTTTTCGAGTAAAATATCTAAATATGAAACAAATGTGTCAGACTCTGTAGTGTCCTTTATTTCAAGCTCACCGGGATATATCGTATCGACATTAGAAAGCATATGGAAATAACCATTGTAATTGACAATACGTCGTCGATATATCTAAATGTCGAGTTGCGGGCCAAAGCAAGTGTTTTCTTCTTTTCACATATAGAATTTTGGACAAATTGTGCTTCATATGAATACAAAAATAAGTCTGCTAATAACGGGGAGCAATTGGTACAAATGGGAAGTCCAATGGATTGTTGGAAGATTTGGTCTCCATAAACCACATATATATGGTCAATATCAGAAACTCAAGTATCTTTTTGATGTCAACTTCGGAGTACTTGTGTGTACAATCAGAATGCACAGAACAATAAGTAGGATAAATTGATTTATTTTATATTGCTTAACGTCTCATTTGAGAATATTTAACGCGTATAGAAACGTCACCGTATACAGGTGAAGGGCTTCAAATTTTGAGCTTCACTCGAAACTTAAGGCCATTAAGCAGTGAGAGATCTTTATCGTGCTAAAGGCTACCGTAACAGGAGGTCTTGGTTATTAAGGTCTCATCTGAAGGACCCGCAACTTTCACTTCAACGGTGCCGAGCACGTGGCGAAGGAACAGTTGCTACCTATTTTTTTTTTATCATCGACTTAGGTTAGATCTAGACAAGGCCAAGATTCGAACTCACAACCTTCCGAACACGAAGCGATCGCTCTACCGACTGAAAGATCAGTATGGAAAACACCAGTCAGCATTCAACTTATTTGCTGACAAGACCATTCATTTGAAGCGACCATGGAACTTGCGAAATGATGACTTTAAGGAAGCTCTAAACACTAACAGAAACTGGTTTTCTTTTGACTCTGAGAAAAATACTGTATACAGGGTTATTTTCGCCCCGCTTTATTTTCGCCCTTTCACACTTGGAAACAATTTTGCCCCGTTTTGAATTCGCCCAGTCACAGTTTTGCTTAAGGAATTGTATTGTATATTTTGTATTCGCCCCTTTTTAAATTCGCCCAAACGAGGTAAGGGCGAAAGGGGCGAAAATAAAACGGGGGCGAATATTTCCCTGTATACAGTATGTCGTATAAAGATATGCATATTGAGACTTCTTCATTCATTTAGAATATAGGGTACGTGCCTTATTTGCGCAGGAAAAATATTCAAAGACAATGTACTATTTGTGAGCAGAAATCACTGTTGTCTACTGACACTGGGAAAATTAATGAAAATAATTAATTAAATTTCTTACTCTTGGTCTTATATAATGCTAAAAATATTTTAATCTAATATAAGTTATGTAATTAACGGTAAATAACAATTTCTTTCATCTTACATCTAAGGGCAGATCACTCTGACTGCATAAAATTACTCAATAGATAGAGCTCTTTATCTATGCAGTGTTTAGAGCGTCCTTAAACAGATCAATTGATATTCTTGTGTCATCAACTTGTTCTTCAATATGTTACCTTGATTTAGAATTTGTTCCTACGTAAAGCATGCTCTTCTGTATCTTATTTACTATTTACTTTGACATTGATACCTGTAGTAAGTACGGAGGGACAGAATTGATAATACATAAGAAAAAAACTTTTTAGTGATCATAGGCATTGTGGTTTTGGCACAAGCTTGTGAAGTTCGGTATTTGAGGGTAGAGTGGTTGTCGGATTCATCTTGGGCAACTTATATGCTCATTATTTTCGTTTAAATAGATGTGAGCTAAATATTTTTATTGCAAAAGAGCTTTCGTATATTGCCCCAGTGTAAAAGTAAGCCGTCGTCTGTAAAAGTCAGCTTTCTTTGCGACTCATTGCACTGAATTATTGCCAATCAATTATCTTGGTCTCCTTTATAATTTCATTGCATAATATCCCCAAAACTTAGATCTTTGAGTGCAAAGTCCAGTTGCTTAATAAATAAGGGAAGTTGACGATAGAAGAGAAAAAATAATAATATTTATATTTTTCAAGCTCTGGTATATCAAATCGACATATGAAAGAAAGTATCTATTCTTACAGTTAATTGATTATACATCGTCTACATATATATACACCGAGTTGAAGCTACAGCAAGTGTTTTATTCTTATCACGTTAAAGATCTTTATACTTAAAACGATTTGCTTAAATTGGGGCGAAATTGGAGTCCATTACAAAATTCTGAGAGATCCCTAAAATAACTATAGCTAACTACAGTTTATTTGAATATAGTATTACGGAAATTTGGAACTTTTATTTGCTGTACTAAAACTTTGGAACTTTGATTTTCTCTAATAGAAACTTTAAACCTT